CAGTGGCAGCGATTTCTGACTCAACTGGGGCTGGTAGAAAGCCGGACTCAAGAAGCAACCCGAAAAATGGCTCTGCTCGAGATCCAGGATCAAATTGAGCGTCTAGCGATCTAACTAACCGATAGTCCAGCTTGTAATCCTAATTGGCTCTAAGCTGAGGGGGTGTGTCAGATAAATGGCAGAATCCGGGTGCGGACTCGAGCACCAGGATTCTGTGATCCCAACCAGTCAGGGCTGATCGCCAAGACCTAACCCTAGGCGAGGCTGATACTTAGCGGCCTACCTAATACAAAAAGCAATAGCGATAGCTCTTATAAGGGGCGCGCCCTCGCGCCCCTACAGACGACAGAACACACAACAACTCAATACACTCAGTTTCTATACTTAAGTTTATCACAGTCTTTTATCACAGTGACCCAAAAAACAGTCCTTGATCAGAAACCCCTCACAGTCTGACAAGTGCCTTGCTAAAGGCATACTAGTTTATTTACCTTCAAGTTATACGTGCGCTTACTTATAAGCAAAAGACAGACTTGTAATTTACTTTAAAGTTATCTAAAAAGTACTACTATTATATATAGTAAACAACAAGTATATCTTTATAAGTATTAGCTGTAACGGGTCGAGTCCTATTAGACTGCGCACGCAACTACAACGCGCCCACCGCGCCAAAAAGGCTGGCACAAGATATCAGAGCTGCTGATATCGTTGCGTAGTTGATACATAAGATAGCCACCGCTATCTGTACTGTAGCGGGCTACCTAGCCCGTTACATTAGCCTTAACTAAAAACTTTAGCTTTTATTAACTTACTATAAGTACTCAAGTATATCGAAGAAGAATTAATTATCCTTCTATATAAGCTTAACTTTCTTAATACTACTATATCTAGTAATAGTTTAGAGAAAAAAACTTTAGCTACTTAATATAGCTTATTGGTAGTAGCTTTAACTTCAGCTTATAAAGTTTAAGTAACTTAAAGCTAAAAGAATTTTCTTTCTTAGCTTAAACTTCTCTTACAAGTTACTTAGTATTAGTAAATTCTTTTTATAATGTGTACTAGCTTAAGAATAAGTTACTTTTTTGAAGGTTATAATGAAGTACTTAAATACTAAACGTAGGTTAAGGTCTTAAAGGGCCTTTAATAGAGAAAAAGAAGAGAAAAAAAAGAAAGTAAAGAATAGCTTTACTAGTCTTACTAATATCAGTAAGGCTAGAGAGAAAGAGGAGAAAATAGAGGAAGATTTATAGGTTATTAGGGGGTGGGAGGGGGAGGGAAGGGAAGTAAGAAGAGTTTAGTGTTAAGAGTAGGATCTGAGTGGAAGTAATATAAGACTTCTGGTGTCAGACTCTTGAGGTTGGTTTTCGCGGATGAAGCAACAGGGTGATATGAACAGTGTCTCTGCAAGTAACTCGTATATTGTACTTGTACTCGTAACTTAAGTTGAACACAATGAGCCATGGGGCTACATTGCCTATGCTATATACTTTCAGTAGTCCTAGTAGTCCTAGTAGTCCTAGTAGTCCTAGTAGTCCTAGTAGTCCTAGTAGTCCTAGTAGTCCTAGTAGTCCTAGTAGTCCTAGTAGTCCTAGTAGTCCTAGTAGTCCTAGTAGTCCTAGTAGTCCTAGTAGTCCTAGTAGTCCTAGTAGTCCTAGTGGTCCTAGTAGTCCTAGTACATGATTCTAGTGCCAAGACTTGGGATTCGGTAGGACTGGTCACGTGATTCCGTTAGCGTCAGATCCGCCCCGCGGTCTTCCGTTGCTTTGATGGGTTCCTTCCTTCAGGATCGTAACACCATCCTCCTCCTCTTTACTCATGTCCCTATGAGTGACCGTACGCCTTCCCGTTCCACTCTATTTCGTCATCGCTTGGCTGACCGTATCGAGTCGACTGGTATTATTATTATTATTATTATTATTATTATTCTAGTTTAACGTCCTTTCTCAGCCCAAAGGGCTATATAAGACGTGCAGGCTTAAGGCCTGCAAGTAACTACGTAGGCTAGAATTTAATCTAGGTACAAATTGAGTAGGTACAATGTAGGGGGTTATCTAAATGAAGGTGAGGCTCGTAGCCTAGTAGTTTTTTAGTGAGTAACTCTCTCAGATCTTTCACTTTAAATGAGTCTTCCTCTCAAGTTTTTAACGAGTAACTCTCTCAGTCGAATAGGTAGTTTAATGAGTAACTCTCTC